ATGAGCGCGTGCGCGTACAAAACGTAAGAGATTTCCATCAAACTAAGGCCCAGTTCATACGTCGCATTTCTGCCGTGTCGAATTCAATTCAATTAAATGCGGCAGAAATGCGACTGTGGATTCATACGTCGCACTTGTGTCGCACTTAATTCAGAATTTATACTTTCGGGTATGTCGGCCAGCGGAAAATGCTTTAAACGTAGTAGTATTCAATATGGCGGACGCAAATACCGAGCGACGAAGGACTTTAATTTTGCGAAAAATTGTCCGCCAATAGAACAAGAAGGAAAAGGCTGACAACGGAGCAGTATGTGTTGCAATATGTTCAGGTTACATTGGGTCGAGAATGGCCAAGTTTCTTCTTTTTCTTTGGCGGGAAAACACTTACGCATGCTCAATACATTAACATAATGTATACATTAGATTCAAATTAAAACCTTTAGAGCTGGCTATCAAACTATACCAATAATTTTGAAATATGAATTGTCTAATTTTTCATGACAAAATTTGTACAGTAGATAGTTTGACATGTAAACACCAAAATCGTGTCCAAGAAGTTTTTGTTTCGAAACAGACACGTTTTTTCCGCGCTTTGGGTCAGGAAACTGAGGAACAAAGTAAATTCTAGTTAGCGAAAAACAAAATTTGCCTTGACTTGTAGCTTTCAAAAGGTGATTCAGACGCTCGTATTTAGAGGTCATGAAAACTCCGACGATTAATTTTACAAATTTTTTCAAAATTCTTGTAGTTTGGTAGCCAGCTCTATAAGCTTTGGTTTGATATAGGGTCTAGGTATCTACAGTTTAAACTGGACGCACTACATCGCTTAGACGTTAGACACCTCTGAAGGTAACGGTAACATTAAATTACGTCGGATATTCATTTTCATACCAGATAAACTCCTTCTCCTGCTTCAGCAGACCTCACTTTTAAATCGATGCCAACTTCAATTCATTGTTACATGTAAAACATTAAACTACGTACTGGTTCAATCTATAAAGCTTCAGTTTTTATATTTCACTTCTTTTCAACCAGCAGCTGATTGAGTCCTGATTGTAGTTGACATAATTGACAGAGCCTTTTTGCTCAGTTTCGTAGGTTCTTTTCCTTGCTCAGCTGGGTTCATATATATCTTAAACGTTCGGTGAGAGTCCTGAAGGGTGAATGTTTGTGATTCTCAGTTCCAGTGACCCAAGTCCCATTTTCGTAGTGAAAAAGCCGGACAAATTTCAGGTCCTATTTTGCCTTTATAAGCCCCTGGGTCGGCGAGCTTAGGAACAGTCTAAAATTGCGGAAATGGTGGGAAATCTTCGACAGATGTTTAGAAGCTGTTCCAAGTTTGTTTGTTCATAGTAACTATCTCGTTTGGACTTTACTCTATTACCTTTAAAAATATTTTATATTTGTCTAAAGTGGTGACGATAGAATCAACTTAGCTGAAGGACATCGCAGTCAATTATAAAGGAAAATGTGTTTGGACTGGACCAACAACGTTTAAAGTCAATTGCAGAATACAGATCCAGGACTGGCCTTTTGACAAGCAGAAATGTGAACTCGCATTTGGTTCGTATACCTATGGAAAGAACCTAGTATTGATAGCATAGCCTGGTTGCTTGTTTGGTTACATCAGGGGCTGGGTTACATACTTTTATTTTGGCCTCAAAATCTTGTTATTGTCCTTGTTTTACATCGTTAAGATCACGTGACACTTTAAGCTATAACAATCAATGGATCAATTTTAAGTGGTCGGCAATAAAAAGAATAAATTTGTATTAAAAAGTCTAAAAAACAGTTACAATGAACTATTGTTGAGAATTAAAATATATACAATATTAAAAAGGTTAAAATAAAAAAAATTATCCAAGAAATGTATCTTTCCAAGGACTCTCATAGCCCCTTATGGCTCATTGTTGCTAGGTTTTCCTTGAAGGCTTCATAAGGATCGATTTTTCTCGTGTCGTCGGGAATCGAGATCAATCATAATATTACTGTGGTAAGAACCACTGTTCTGTTGTTCTGTTCGTATAGGGTGCGTGGTACAGACACTTGTTGAGTGCTTAAATCTCGCCCGTGGGTGAGCCTAACTAGATCTTTCAACACACAGTAAACGTTTTCAAAAAGTAGTGAAATCATGATAAGTAGGTTTCAGATAATAAAGCCACGATGTATGTGGTTGTACTGAAAGCACAGAAACATTCTTCGGCTTTACTGGACGGTATTAGTAGACAGTGGATGTTCTAGGCCTGTTAGCCAGCCTGTTACAAATTCTTCTCTATATCGTAGTTGTCTGGTAAACATTAGAACACGAGGAATAAAGAAACCAGAGACATGTAAAATAGTGCTAAAAAATACTCTAGAACAAGGGAGAAATTCGGAAACACGAGCTACAGGCGAGTTTCCCTTTCGTTTCACAAGTGTTTTCAAATTTCCGTATTACGAAAGTATAAATTTTTGGTTGAGGCTTACACTGAACTCGCGCGAGACAATTATATACGTTTTTCCTTGTTTTATGCTCTGATTAATCTTTAGCTTTGTGTTTAACAGACCACGCGCAGATTCCAAAATGAAAAAAAAGAGAGAGAGAGGTCGAGGAGTAAGATGCCCCATTTAGGTCCTATTCCCAAGGAAATCTCTTTCAAGTCAGTTTTGGACATGATACCCAGTTCTACCGCAGGTAATGGTATAAATCGAGCCAATGTCACCACGCGCGTTGTGTTGTTGTTTTTGCGGAGGATGAAAACGTGTGTAATGCCGTTTGGGCTACACACGTGAGCAAACTTCAGGATTAGTTATTTCTTGACCTTCCTGAGAAATCCGAAACCGGAACTTGAAAGAACAAGGCCTGAATGGTGGATAAACTCTCTCACCCTTCATCCTCTCTTGGTGAGATGACATGGGTGCCTTTGTTGGTTTGAATTGTGCCTGTTTGTAACTACACTCGTCGCGTTCAACTTAGGGAAATTCCGAAACAAACTGTTTCAACAGTTTTTTTAACAAACAAACTATTTTAACCGTTTGTTTAACAAGTTGACTGAACAAACTGTTTTAACAGTTTTGACAGCCTATGCAAAGTTTACGTTTCTTGTGATTTGCCAGTGCAATTGATCTAGTTTTGGTTTACGACGGTCAATTTAATAACGCTAGTTTTGACAGGCAGTGAACAGCTTTGCATATTTTCCATTTTTGCTAGGTTTGTAAAAAGCGGAGACTGGGACATTGAGGACATCACAGCTAAAATATCAGAAACTGACCATGGCGACTGCTGCCCGTTTAACTTCAGTGAGGTTGTATACGCCCTGCTGATGAAACGCCATCCCTTCTGTTACACTAACAGTCATCGCACTAAGTAGCTTCCTAATTCATGTTGAAAGTGGAGAACGCATCGGCTTTGTTACAACTATTCTGCTCGCCATGACAGTGTTTCTACTTGTCATCCCATCCTATCTTCCAGTAATATCGGACGGACTCCCAATCCTTGGCATAAACCTTCAAATTACTATGATCATTATAGCGCTAGTCCTCTTCGCCAACATTTTCGTTCTGAGGGTTTACTTTATGGAAGGGACGCCTCCAAACTGGACTGGAAAACTCTGTGACTTCTGCAGCGTTAAGAAGAGTAAAAGAGTCAAACGGATTCATGTATCACAGCATGATGGTGCCCACCCAGCAATTGCGAAATCCACTGCGACAATGACCAGTATCGAGACTGAGGCCAGCAGCGGGAGCCGTGTTTTGGGTAAAAGAGTTGATGATCAGGAATTCACTTGGCGACAGATGTCAATTAAAATGGATCAAGTATTTTTTTGTAATACTCGTTATTGTTTCGTTCATTGCGTATGCCGTGACTTTTGCAACATGACTAAACACTTTGTTGTTGCTTTGTGAAGGACAACTCGCTGCAAACATTTTACCAGCTCACGCCCTCGCATTGTTGTAAATTGAACGTTCATGAACTTTATATCCAAAATCGACCTAACTGTCTCTCCAATGTAACGATCGTTAACATAGCCTGTTTGATTGTGACGAATAATGCTTGGCACAGCATTTTTACTTTGAATGTAATTACTTTTGAAATTATTTTCGCATCAACATTAATGAGGGAGATTGGTTGTCAATTTTCTATAAGTGTTCAATCTTTACCTTGTTCCTCAATTAAAGTGATGACTGCTCTCCTTTGAGAGCTGGGCATTTCTCCATATTTAAAGGTCTCCTTTGTACTTTCTATAAAAGAGTCCCCAATTAATTCTCAACAGAATTTATAAAATTCAGTTAGCATCCCAGTATCACCTGGTGATTTGCTATTTTGAAAGCTGTCTAGCATTAATTTTATTTCCTTCACGGATATTTCACCTTCACAAAATTGTTTTTGTTCTTCGGATAGTTTAGGAACCGAGTTCGAGAATGGCAATACGTTCTCCTACTGTATTAAATAATAAATGAAGGGCACGAGTTCACGGCCGCGAATTTGAGATTCGCAGGAAGCGAGAAATACTGTATTTTCCACTCGCGAGTATTTCGTGGTAGCGTCACCTAGTTGCATATCCTATTTTTATACTATACCACTCTGAGATGTAACAGGCTATGTAATGGTGATGTAAAGACATCGTACTCCTTATTAGATATTGTTTTCTGATCTGACAATGTTGCAATTGATTAAAATTAAAAGTGACATCACTTTTAGTCAAATATCTTCGGATCACTGCCGGAAACTCGTCGGAAAATGTTCGGAAAGTTTCGAAAATTGCAAAAATGTTCATATTCTTGAGCCTATATACGAGTCAATTGCTAAAGACATTGAACTGAAGATAGCGTTTTGAACGGCAAATGTCATGGATCGTAGAAGTCTTACAGACCCGTCAACCCCATTTTTACACCAATATGATTTTCTAAAATTGTTCTCATCCTCGCAAATGATCGGTAATACTCTGGTGATTTACATCTTGTTTACAGTAAACCACATGCGTAGTTCAACAAACACTCTTATCGCCAACGTGGCCTTTGCTGATCTTCTTATGACCATAGATACATGATCAAATAGTACTACGTGCTAAATAAATGGTTTAGCACGTTCATGGGCACTGTGTTATGCAAGTTCTTGCACTCTTTACAGATAGGATCCCTTGCAGCCTCAGTGTTCAGTCTGGTGGTGATTTCCCTTGATCGCAGTTTTGCCATCCTATTTCCAATGAAAAAAATAATGACTCGAAACGTTGTTCGTTTCACGATCGCCATGACGTGGCTAGATGCGCTGGCGTTAATGCTTCCAGTTATGATAGCTACCAAGAATAAACAGTGGGAGGGAGGGGATGGTATGATTTGCGACGAGTTTTGGAAGCCGATGTCAACGAAAGTCTACGTTACAGTTGTTTTCGTTACTTCTTACATCGTTCCACTGATAATCATTGCTCTAGTCTACTGCCTGGCTGGGTTACGTCTTTACCGCAGAAAACTATCTGGACATCAAAATCAGACAGCACACAATAAAATCCAAGTCTCGAGCAGACGAGCGACTGCAATGTTGATCACAGTGACTGTCATTCTAGCTCTGTCGTGGCTCCCTCTACAAGCCCTGGAGAGGATAAAAGTTTACAAGCCAAGCATTTCGCATTTCCCCTGGTTTGGTTACTGTAATAGCGCTATTAATCTAGTTCTTTATGGGATATATTCTCGGGAAATTATCGCCGCGAGTTTTATCGGATTCTATGCAGAGGGGCAAGCTGGCAAGACAGCAAGAGGGCGCCTGTTTTAAATGATTGTAGCTCGCGCCAAGCAGGGCATCGAGTCCAAGGAGAAGCAAGTAATTTTGAGTGCGAGACTCGTCTTTAGCCAGATTGTGAAACAGACAGACAGTCAGACAGATAGACAAGGATCGATTTCAACACCGATGATTAGCAAGAAAGCCGTCCTTAAAAAAAGTACACTTGACAAAAATAAAACTACAGATATCACAAAATTATTAGCGGAGCTCCGACGGCCCGAATAGCCGACAAGCGGAGCACCATACCCATAGAGGAAAGAAAAGGAAACCAATGAATTGATTTT